GTTGTGTTGTTGTTTGTTAGTGTGTGTGTGTGTGTGTGTGTGTGTGTTGTGTGTGTGTGTGTGTGTGTGTGTGTGTGTTATTTACATATATATGTATATATATGTATGCATGTATATATGTATGTACGTATGTATGCATGTATGTATGTATGTATGTACGTATGTATGTATGTAAGTATGTATGTATGTATGTATGTATGTATGTATATATATAGGTATTTATGAAGATGTATATGTACCTACCTGCTGCTAAACTGGCACCGATGACGGAATAGCCCATGTTGTGTAGTGTGAGATAGGCCAGTGGTGGCAGGGCGGCTCCCTGGAGGGCACATGCAATGCGCATTGATATGTACGGGACAAACTGGGTCCGGAAAAAAAACAGGTGCGTTTGAGAGTAGTGCATTGGGGACAAACTGGGTCCGGAAAAAAGAACAGGTGCGTTTGAGAGTAGTGCATTGGGGACAAACTGGGTCCAGGTGTGTGCGCGCGAGAAAGGAAATCACAGTGGTTTGATGCAGTTGTAGCACAATCACTGCGTATTTCGGTCTACTCCAGTAACTCCCCTTTGGAAACTTGCGAATCTCCGTAGCTTCAACGACACAGCGAGAAGGTTTCAAACACAGACACACATCGCATATGCCAATATTTGTTGAGTTACACACATAGCGGTAGCATTTGAACCCAATAGAGGTAGTATTGGAACCCAATAGAGGTAATATTTGAACCCAATAGAGGTAGTATTTGACCCCAATAGAGGTAGTGTTTGACCCCGATAGAGGTAGTATTTGACCCCAATAGAGGTAGTATTGTCACTCTACGTATCTCTTTTCTCTATATATCTTGTCATACACCCTCTACCCACAACCACCACAGCACAACACCCACACACGAATAGACGCAACACGGGCACAGTCTATAGAAGAGTTCATTCACCACTGAGTTGTTCATGCATTCACTGTTTCCGTACACATTCATGTTAACTATTTCCATACGTACTGTGTATTGCTCTTTGCCCTCGCCCTGTCCCATCCCCTGAGTCGCCCTACAAACCAACACCACATCCATACTCAACCGTACAC